GCCTCATACAGAAATCTGCCTGCTTCTGCCTCCTGAGTGCTGGGACTAAAATACACACTTGCTAGTTAGTATGCCTGCTCAGTCCTGCCTTTTGTTTTGATTTTTAAAGATGGTGTTTCATTTCCTAGAACCTTATAGAACTGGCTGGCCTTATGTCACATTTGCCTCCCTAGTGCTGGGGTTAAAGGCTTGTGCCCCATGCCCAGTTTTTGTTTTTTGAGGCAAGGTCTCTATATGATCCTGCCCTTTAATTCACTGTGTGGACCAAGCTGGTCTTCACATTTATGTCTACCTCTCAAGTGCTGGGATTAAAGTTATGCTGTACCAGAGGCCTCTTTCTGTTTTTGTTTTTTGTTTTTTTTTTTTTAATGGTTTTCCCAGACAGGGTTTCTCAGTGAAGCATTGGCTGTCCTTTGTAGACCAGGCTGGCCTAATCACAGCAATCCACCTGCCTCTGCCTTCTAAGCCCTGGGTTAAAGGTGTGTACCATCAAACCCTGTCAGAGATCTCTTTGTGGAGCCTAGCACATTATATAGTTCTGCCTGGCCTGTAACACTGTAAACCAGGTTGGTCTTAAATCCAGAACTGTCCACCTCAGGTCTCTTCACACCTCCCCCCCCAACACTCACCAGGAAATCTTACTATAGGGACAAGTCTGGCTTAGAATGCACTATGTGTAATTCAAGCTTGCCTTACAGTGTCTTGGGTGCTGATACTGTAATTAGGTTATTTTGTTTTGTTTTTTAATACAGGATTTCTCTGTGTAGCCCTGGCAGTCCTGGACTCAATGTTGTAGACCTATCTACCTTTGCTTTCCTGAGTGCTGGGATTAAAGGTGCTTGCCACCATCGCCTGGCCTTAGCTCTTTTTTTTTTTTTTTAAATAGGGAGTTCTGGAACTATCAGAACCTTGGTTATTTGGGGATGGTTTTTTGGCAGGCAGGAAGATAACCAGGAAATAAAGTGATTCTTCACAACGTTGTATTTATTCCTTATAAATGTTTGTGTGGTCATCTGGGATCAAGGCCTTCTCAGTAGATGGGTCAAGGTTATGGGACAAGCTGGAAATGGGGTCACATGGGTGTTGTCTGCTGCTTGGGTTTGAGATGGCTAAGAGCATGATTCCTGTTTCCCAGGGCCTGCTAAGACTCGAGATGGTGAACGAACAGTCTATTGTAATGTACACAAGCATGAACCCCTTGTGCTGTTTTGTGAGAGCTGTGACACTCTCACCTGCCGGGACTGCCAGCTCAACGCCCACAAGGACCATCAGTGAGTCTCAGGGCATAGTGGGTAGGTGGATGGGACTGTTTGCAAGTTTAAGTTTAGCGTGCAGGCTCACTTTTGTGTGTGTGTGTGGTCTCAGGTACCAGTTCTTGGAAGATGCAGTGAGAAACCAACGTAAACTCTTGGCTTCTTTGGTGAAACGTCTTGGGGACAAACATGCCACACTGCAAAAAAACACCAAGGAGGTTCGCAGCTCGTAAGTGCAGGTACCAGGGCTATTAGGGTTCCAGGGTAAGGTTTCCTGGCCTTACTTGTCTTGTCCATTAGGATCCGCCAGGTGTCTGATGTGCAGAAGCGTGTACAGGTTGACGTCAAGATGGCCATTCTGCAGATCATGAAGGAGCTAAATAAGCGGGGCCGGGTTCTGGTCAATGATGCTCAGGTAAACATTACACTATTGGAAAGGTGTTGGTCAACCTCTGCTGCTGGCAGCTGACATGACACCATCCAGGGTAGAGAAGGATCTTAGTACTCCCTACCTTCCTTGGTGACACTGTTTTCCTTGACCTGCAGAAGGTGACTGAGGGGCAGCAGGAGCGCCTGGAGCGCCAGCACTGGACCATGACCAAAATCCAGAAGCACCAGGAGCACATTTTGCGCTTTGCCTCTTGGGCTCTGGAGAGTGATAACAATACAGCCCTCTTGCTTTCTAAGAAACTGGTGTGTAGTGGTGGGCTTTTTTCAGCTGGGTGGCCCCTCAGCACCCTGGGACCTGTAAGTTGCTAAGTGTGCTCATATGCAACGTTTTTGCCCCATTAGATCTATTTCCAGCTGCATCGTGCCCTCAAAATGATTGTGGATCCTGTGGAGCCTCATGGTGAGATGAAGTTTCAGTGGGATCTCAATGCCTGGACCAAGAGTGCTGAGGCTTTTGGTAGGTTGTTTAGTTCTTTGCTTTTATTTGACCTGGGGAGCTTTCTAGGCAGTTTTGTACCAAATGAGGATTCTCTTTTCAGGCAAGATTGTGGCTGAGCGTCCTGGTACAAACTCCACAGGTCCTGGGCCCATGGCTCCTCCAAGAGCTCCAGGGCCCCTAAGCAAGCAAGGTCCTGGCAGCAGTCAGGTGATCTGGGGAGAGGAACTGGGGAAAGGGAAGGAGGGCATTAGGGTCTCATGGGTTATTTGCCCCACTGATAACACATTCTGTTCCGTCTCTAGCCCATGGAAGTACAGGAGGGCTATGGCTTTGGGTCAGGTGAGTAGTTTGCCTAGGGAATTGGAAGGACTTGGTGAGTACCCTGTATCTGTCTATGCTGCCAACTCTTTTGTCTTCTGAGCAGATGATCCGTACCCAAGTGCAGAGCCACATGTGTCAGGCATGAAGCGGTAAGTGTGATAGCCTGTTGGAGTAGCAGTGGGTACAGTATTGGTGTGGTAGGGATGCATGGGAGCTCATGACAAGGTCCGCTAACAGGTCCCGCTCTGGTGAGGGGGAGGTAAGTGGCCTCATGAGAAAGGTGCCACGTGTGAGCCTTGAACGCCTGGATCTGGATCTCACTGCCGATAGCCAGCCACCAGTCTTCAAGGTCTTTCCTGGAAGCACCACTGAGGACTACAATCTGATTGTTATTGAGCGTGGTGCTGCCGCTGCAGCTGCTGGTCAGGCTGGGACTGTGCCACCAGGAGCCCCTGGTGTTCCACCGCTGCCTGGCATGGCCATTGTCAAGGTGAGCCTGACTTAATTACATACAGGATGATTGAGTGAAACTTGTCACCCCAGATTTGGATACTAACACTCAAAACTCTCTTACAGGAAGAAGAGACAGAAGCTGCTATTGGAGCCCCTCCTGTTGCCACTGAGGGTCCTGAGACCAAGCCTGTGTTGATGGCTCTGGCTGAAGGCCCTGGTGCAGAGGGACCTCGTCTGGCTTCACCTAGTGGCAGTACCAGTTCAGGCCTGGAGGTGGTGGCTCCTGAGGGTACCTCAGCCCCAGTAGTTGGGCCAGGTATTTTGGATGACAGTGCCACTATCTGCCGTGTCTGCCAGAAGTCAGGTGACCTGGTCATGTGCAACCAGTGCGAGTTCTGCTTCCACCCAGATTGCCACCTCCCAGCCCTGCAGGATGTTCCAGGGTATGTGTGAGTCTGGGCAAGATCAGATAGATTGTGGAGGGCTAGTTGTCATGTTTTACATTTCCTACTCTTCACCCTAGGGAGGAATGGAGCTGCTCACTCTGCCATGTGCTCCCTGACCTAAAGGAGGAAGATGGAAGCCTTAGCTTGGATGGAACAGATAGCACCGGTGTGGTAGCTAAGCTCTCGCCAGCCAGCCAGCGGGTGAGGGCTGAATGCACAGGTGTTGGGTGGCCCCAGTGCCTTAAACCCTTCTCCATGCTACAATTCTGCCATCTCTTGTACTGTCTAGAAATGTGAGCGTGTCCTGCTGGCCCTGTTCTGCCATGAACCCTGCCGCCCCTTGCACCAGCTGGCTACTGACTCTACATTTTCCATGGTGAGTCCCAGAACAGAGGAGAGGTTGGAGGGCCTAGAGGTGGTAAATGCCCTCCTAAAAAATGCTTTGTTTCCCTGTAGGAGCAGCCTGGTGGTACCCTAGACCTTACCCTGATTCGTGCTCGCCTCCAAGAGAAGCTGTCACCCCCTTATAGTTCCCCCCAGGAGTTTGCCCAAGATGTGGGCCGCATGTTTAAACAGTTCAACAAACTGACGGAGGTGAGCCCACAGAAGGAAGTAGGGAGGGTGGCAGGGGGAAGAAAAGCCAGGATCCACTCACTGGTGTACTTCTAATTGGCCCAGGACAAGGCGGATGTGCAGTCCATCATCGGTCTGCAGCGCTTCTTTGAGACGCGCATGAACGATGCCTTTGGTGACACCAAGTTTTCTGCTGTGCTGGTAGAACCGCCACCGCTAAACCTTCCCAGTGCTGGCCTAAGTTCTCAGGAGCTGTCTGGCCCTGGTGATGGCCCCTGAAGCTGGGGCTCTTGTAGACAGCACAGTCCAGCCCTGGTCTCTGTCCTCACCCCATACCCATTCCTCCTTCTGGTGGCCTGACTCCTGCTCTTGCTGGCCCCTTCCCTCAGTCCCTCCTCACAAAATGGTTTTTACTTCTGTGGATTTAATAAAAACTTCACTGAGTCGCTCATGCCTCACCTGTTTGGGGACTGTATTTCTGAGGCCTAATATTTACTGTTTCACAAGCAAACTTCCACAGGGGACTTAACCTCTTTGGCAGGGTGGAAGATTTGAAACTTGGATTGAAGCCTCTTGTATTGTACCATGTGCCTCCCAGTGGCCAGACAGCAAATCTGGACCTGAAGCTACTCACGAGCTTGCAATCAGAGTAGGTTGTGTGCTGAGATTTCCAAGGTTTTTGTACATTTTCAGATGGGTCTGGCTGTCCTGTAATTTTTTAAAACCAGGTTGGACTGCCTCTTTGAGTACTGGGACTAACCAAAGTTTTATATTTGTTACAATGATGATTTAACTAATTGCCAACTGAGTCTTACTTTGACCAGAAATTGGGCACCACCTTAAATCACAGGACACCTCATTGAGTGTGGTAGATGTAGGTCTGCATTGCCTGGATGGCCTAAGTACTCACATACCAATTGGTAGCCCTGGGGCCCACGCATAATTGGTTCTCAAAGCTCTTTGTGGTAAGCAGTATCAGCTTTGCCTTTGGGTCCCCATTACCACAATTCACAAGCTTAGGAAATTCATCAGTTACATGGGGGAGAATCTCACAGTCTTGGGAAATTTGTGTCCAAGTTTCTTTATTACAGAGGGGACAGGGTGAAGAGTCCAGGAGGGGAGTTGTTCAGTCCCTGCGAAGGTTCTTGAGCCTCTCTTCCAGGTCTGCATCTGCATCAGCTAGGGCTGAGGCTGCGGCCTCTGCTTTCTTTCCACCAGCAGCCACACTGAGTGAGCCACCGGTGGAGGGAAGGTCTGCAGAGAGAGTTGATGGTCAAAGGGCTGTGGCTGGGCTTTGGGTAGGGAAATAGATGGGTTTGGAACACTCACTTGACAGCTCATCTGTGAGGCTCAGTCCGAGCTCATCCAGCACCTGGGACACAACAGCATCACTAGGAAAGAAGAACTCATGAAGGCTGTAGATGGGTAAGGGACCTGGTAAATTCTCCCTGCCTTATTTCCCATACCTCTCCTCTTCATCTTCCTCATCACCCATTGCATCATCAATGGCATCATTCATCATTTCTTCCTTCATGTCCATGATCTCTGCTTGCCGTTCAAACTCCATCATGATCTTCTGAATCTGGGGTAATTTAAGCTGGAAGAAGGGGGAGGGTGAATGAACTGCTGGAAGGTCAACTGGAATAGGAAGGTGGATTGGGAGGAACAAACCTGTCTGTTCATGGTGCCCATAGCCTTAGTAACGCCCTTCATGGCTTGTGCCATTGAGTTGTTGGATTTTAGAGTCTGTATCTTGAGGGACACAGCCTGGATGTTGGCACGCATCAACACAAACTTGCGCACATATCGCCGGGTACGCACCAGGTCTTTTGCCATGATCCGAACAGCATCCTACACAGTGGACAAGAGAATAAAGGAGGAACCTTTGAGGTTATGCTTTATTCCTGCTGTGGTATTCTCACGAAAGTTAAACCAAATGATCACTTCTCAAATCTCACCCTTCTCAGGGATATCACTCTGTAGCCTGCCTAATGCCGGAACTACAGGCATGGTCCCCTGCATCGTTTTCCCCCCACCCCTCAGCCCCCTTTGGTAAAATTTACTCTGTAGTGTAAAATTTAAACATTCATGAAAGCTAAACTCTTGCTTTAAACTATGTTGCTGACACTTTTCTTTCTAGTTTGCATGCAGTTCATGCTTCTTAACCTAGTGCTGAAGTGCAGGAAGGTACTAGGTGCAGTCCTTATCCCTCACTTCTTGGACATCCATGACTTTTCCCCCTCAGTCTTGACTCCTAGACTACGCCAATAATCTGCCTTGGGCCAGGGACATTGCTGTGTTGCCTAATACGCACAAAATTCTGGAGTCTAATCTCACTGAACAAAACACTCCAACTCTTCCATATGACCAAAACCTGTTTGCCTCATGCTATATCCAGAAATGTACAAGCCTATCCGAGGTCCAGCTTCTATGTTGCTGGCATACCACAAGAAATACCAACTGTCTTTTTTTTTTTTTTTTTTTTTCATCAACTTTTAGAGACAAGGTTTACTTGCGTAGTCCTGGCTGTACTGAACTTGTAGACCTTGTAGATCAGGCAGGCCTCGAACGCACAGGAATCCTGCCTCTGCCTCCCAGTGTGTGCTGTCTCACTGGCCTTTTTGACAAGGCTTCTTAACTCTTGCCTGTTCATCCCAACTCACTGCAGCCTAGAATTCCGAGTGTCTGGTCCAAGTCCACTCCTCAGTGCTCTTGTTCTCTCAGTTTGCTGTTGCCTGCACAATGGCCAGCTTTTCTGTAGGCTTACTCATGTACTGTGAAGGGGTCCTCCCTGACACCCCAAACTGAGAAACAACTTGGCACTTACCATCTGGCCTTGCTTTGCCATCTTTTTGATGTCTGCAATAATTTTCTTTTCCTGGGTTTCTAGCTTCTGCCGCTCCCTGTCCAGCTCCCTCATGGCTCGGTTCAGAGCCCTCTGATTTTGTCGAAGCAGTTCCTCTGGAGTCTTCCGGCGCCCAAACAACAGGTCCATGATCCTGGGACTCCACAAGCAGGCCTGGGACAGACTTTAGACCTAGCTGTAGCGTGCAGGGCCCAAGACAGCAAAAGACAGAAACAGGGTCATGTAAATAGATAGGGTCCGAAAACAAGAGTAGTCAAAAAGGATTAGCCGGCCAAAACCAGTAATACACTTTCCTGACTCAGGCACACACTCTACTGGAAACTGCTTTGCTTTCAAAGGCAAAGACTTAAGGGTGTGGTTCTGGATTATTTCAGGGACCCAGACCTGAGTAGGCAAGCCAACCCAAGAGAGTACTGAGGAGAGGTTAGTAACGGCCCACCAACACGGGAGGATAGGATGGAGGAAGTTCTGAAACGTAACAGGGTGGAAGGTGGGCCCTAAAGTGGGGCAATGGATCTGAATGCCGAGGGAACCTGGCTTGCCGGGATAGAAGTGGCACTCTATACACACACGACGTGACAGAAACACCGAGGGCAGGCAGAGGTGGAGACCTCGATGAGAGAAGGGTCAGGCGGACTACGCGGCATCCGAGGACCCAACCGAGAAGCCCTCCTACGCTGCCGCCCAAACGAGACCTGGAGCTTTGCGGGAACCACTCACCGGAGTAGAGAGAACGACGAGCTTCCGCTTCCGGGTCACGCCCCTTTCTTTCCGAAGCCTGGAGACTCAACCAACGACAACCCCTCTGCTGCCTCCGCCGTTTCCGGCTAAACGGCCTGACGTCACTAACCCACCCTCTCCCGGAATGCTGGGAAATGGCAGGACGCACGCGCACATCCAGCCACCAAGCGCATGCGCAAAACGTCCCACATCTCTGCGGAAACTTCAAGTCCCGCCCAACTAAGCCTCTGAGGCTCCTAGCAGGAGTACAGCACCACTGGCTATTCATTCTGTAAGGCCCAAACTCCACCCATCTTTGGGTGGCTCATCCATGTAATCTTAACAAGTGCCTGACAGGAACCAAATCGGCGGGCCCACACATGGCATAAAGGGGCAAGCCTGGAGAATGACTTATGTTCCCTTATGTTGGTGTAGGGGCTGCGAACTGAAATTAGCCGATTCTTCATTGCTTACTCCTCATCCCAAGGCCACACACTTATCTTCATCGTAGTCGCTGGTGGATTTCACTTCTCCCTCCCACCCCACAGAAGGAAGAGGCAGAGGCCATGCAGTAACATTCCCCTTTAATAGCCTGGTGGGACCTCCAGTGGTGGTGGGGTGGGTTGCTCGGGCCCAGAGACCCAAGCCCATTGTCCACTTACCCCACAGACAAAAGTGGGGGGTTGGACAGCACCCAGCAGGAGGGGGGTTGCTAAACAAGCCAATTCATTTCCCATTGCTGAGCAGGTCGGAGGAGGCAGTACCGACCATAATCATGTGGTGGTCAAGAAAAAAAAATAACTAGGGGCAGGTGACAGGAAGGAGAGGCAAGGCCTAGGCAGGGGCCAAGGCTATCCCCCACACCCTACCCGGGCCCCCAATAAATATTTGCAGGGGATGCCTGGGCTGGTAACCCTGGCAGGGATGGATAATTGCTAAACCTATTTAAGGCAGCGCTCGAAGTAGGTGGACCCGATGTAACCACCTCTCATGGAGCGCTGCACGTTTTGTTCAAACAGCCGCCGGTTGTTCTGCAGGACCTCAGCAGCTTCCTTGTTCAGTGGGTCCTCGGGGTTGGGCTCCTGTGGCCAGTACAAGTAGAAGTCAACAAGCAAGAGAGGCAGATGGCCATCAAACCCTCAGCCTCAAATGCTTATCCCTACTTACCAAGAAGAGATACTGCAGGCCATAAATTATGGAGTTTATCGTAAGGACTGGCTTCCAGTCCTCTCTGTGGATAGAGAGCATCAAAGTTATCAGGGGCTGCTGAGTGGGAGGCTGCTACAGAGTCCCCAGGTCAGGACTATATGATGTCCATTAACACTGTGGAGTGAGAAAGGGGGAAGAGCTGGGTGATGGTGGTGCATGCTTTTAACCACAGCACATGGGAAGCAGAGCAGGCGGATCTCTGAGTTTGAGGCTAGCCTGGTCTACAAAGTGAGTTCCAGGACAGCCAAGTCTACACAAGAAACCTTGTCTCAATCTCAAAAAAAAAAAAAAAAAAAAAAAGAAAAGAAAAGAAAAGAAAAGAAAAGGGGGCGGGCGCGGTATGGAAAAGGGCAGGCCATGGAAAAAGCCAAGATCAGGCTATTAGGAAAACAACTTGGAAATGAAGACAGAGAAACACAGACTGACCATAAACGGGAAGGAAGGACAGGGTGGGTATGCATCCACAAAAGGCCGAGAGGATGCCCGGAAGGCAGGCCCTCGACAGGAAACAGAAAGCAGTGCCCTCACCTGAGGATGTTGAGGCAGACGTTGCCCTCTAGGTCAATGTTGGGATGATAAACCATTGTCTCACACTTCACCTTGGGAGGGTCATGTGGGTAACCCTGTCCCACCTGGCTCCAGAAAAAGAGAAATGAGATGGGTAGGTGTTTGGTTGTGCCTCAGTCTTCTCCACAGAGTCACCTTTGCCCACTTGAGACTCACCTTAAAACTGAATACAAACTTGCCACTCTTGTAGAAGCCCTGAAGAGGAAAGGAAGAACATATTAAGATCCTATTCTTATCGGGCTACTCCTGGTCTGCTCCTATGAACTCTGCCATGTTTTACCTCATCAGGACAGATAACCAGCTTGAAGTTGAGAAGGTCGTCTGGGTCTGAGAAGCTGATGTCACACGTCTTGGGCAGGTTCAGCTCGTTAATGTCTAGGTTTGGGCAGCAGAGGGGAGGAGAGAAAGGTCTGGGCATATGCTAGCAGAGCCACAGAGGCCTTCTTTTGGCCCTGTAGAGCTCTGCTGTGTAGTGTGCTTCACACCAATAGCTCAGTCTGTTCTACATACTCACTTTTCAGTCTCTACATGGACTCTTCTGGATACACAGTATCCCACATACAAGCATCTTCATTTATAACTGCATGCCCCTCTCTTGGGAAAGGGCAAACTCTTACCTTCCTAAACCCCCTACCACAAGCTCCTACAACATAGTCACCAAGAACATCTACTCCTAAAATACTGGCTTCCAAGAGTCCCTAGGCATCCTAAATAAACCTGACTCTTTACTCGTCATCTCTACTCACTACTGTGGACATTACCTGTCCACCCCAATTCAAGGACCATGATCTCCAAACACTAAAATCATCCCTTCTCATCAACTATCTAGCCTCCATTGTCCTTCCTCTCTCCGGATTATTCCAAGCCCCAGTTCCCACCTGACCCTTGAGATTTCCAGCATGGTAGCTTAAATTGATCCTCATTCTTACTCTTTAATTCCTGTCACCTGACCTGGTCCCCTTACCAGTTCACTCCTTCATCTCAAACTCAAAACTGCTTTGCCTGACCCCCTAGACCTGAGTTCTGGGCTAAGACTCCCCAGTATAATACACTAAACCGTCTCCTAGTTTTCCCCGACTCACAACCTTCACGACCCATCACCCCAAAGCAAAGTTCCAGTCTGACTCTCAAAACTACTCCCTCCCCTAACAGATTCCGGGTCACTAACACTCCAGGACCTTAGTATCCCAACGCTTATACTCGGCCCTAATCTCTGACCCTCCCTAGTGACCGCACCCCCCGTCCCGCATCACAACCCTCGAACCCTGACCCCCGATACAAAACCTCAGCGGCCGCATTTTCACACCCCAGTCCCTGACCACGAACGCGGGGTCCCGACCTACCCTTCTGGATCCGGAGCTGCGCCGCCGACGCCTTCTTGCTGCTGCCCTTGGTGCCGCCGGCCGACTCCTCCTCCTTCTTCTGCTGCTTCAGCGAGAACAGCTTGATCATCCTGCCGCCGCCGCCGCCGCCGCAGCCGCCGCGGGGCCCGGGACCCCGGCCACCCGGCCCCCCGCCGCCGCCTGCGCCGCTTCCGCTCCTGGGACCCGCTACCGCGGCCTCCTCCGCTGCCACCGCCGCCCGCCCGGCCTGCCGCGCTGCTCCGCGCCCACCGCACGGCCCGCCTCGGCTCCCGTAGTCCGGTTCTGGCCTGGCTTAGCGCCTCGGATTTGTTCGGAGGCGCTCGGGAAGACTCGGCGATCCTCGGCCCCGCCCCTGCTACAGCCCCCGCGCCCTCCTCCCCTTCTTCCGCTTGGGTCTTGCGAGGCCCCGCTGCGGCTGCTGACGCCGGCCTTTACCCGTCCGCCGCTTTCCCGCTTATTTGCTTCCTCTGCTAGGAGGCTACGTTGAGGTGGAAGGAGGAGGCAGCAGCCGCACTTTCCGCGACCGGGTACCGGTGGAGGCTCAGCTTCCGCGGCAGGCGCGTCTTCGACGCAGAAGTCCACAACGACCTCGGGCGCCCTGCCGCTTCGGCACTTTCCGCCGCCTGCTCACTTCGGTTTTTCCTGTCCTGGCTGCGCTGTATTGCCTTCGGCGCTTTCCGCCGCCAGCCCACTTCGGTTCTTCCTGTCGGCTGTGCTCTACGCCTGCGCAACCATTGGAGCCCCCCTCCCCCAAGTTGCTCCTCGTTGCAGTTTGGGGTTCGGTCTTCTTCGGTTGAGCTCGGGTATTTCCGTTTGTGGAGGTAACTCTTCGGAGATCCAGCGGATACTTCCTGGGATGTAGAGTAGGAAGCTGCGCTTGCAACCATTTTTAAACGAGGCGGGTGGTGGCCGTTTTGGCTCTCGGTGGTTCCATCAGTATTGCGCTTATGCGGAGCACTGCGGGACCGGGCTAGAGTTGCTCTCTGAGGGCTCAGCAAAGGCAGAGTATGGATGTTATAAAGGACGTTGTCTAAGGGTGCAGAGACAAACTCGCTTAATCCCATCGCAAACCCAGATTTGGATTGATGTAAACTAACTTTAAAACTCGGGAGGCTAAACAACAACAACAACAAAACTCAGGAGGCTGATGTATCAGATTCCCTTGAGCCCGGGCATTCAGGGACATCCTAGCAACACATTGTTCTTTAAAATAGATATCTACTGTGCAACAGAGGGTGAGCACAGTTTTACAGTTCAAGATGGACGTGGCTATAGGGCTTATGGAAGCAGGACTGGTATTGTGCCTCTCCATGAACTCGTGTTGCGTCAGCTCGCATGCAGTCACAGTAGGGCGCTTGGGAGGTGGAAGGAAATAGCTCAGGATGGGCCAGTGACTTCTGGCTGTCATCTAGGAAACCAGCAAGCAGCCACAGTCGCTGTTAAGTGTGTCTGCTGCTTGTCTGGTCACAGCCTGAAAAACTTGGCCGAAATCCTCTCCTTTATAAAAGCTGTTCTTAAATAAATAAAGGCTCTTTGCCATCTGACAGAGCGCTGGTGCCACACAGCATGGCTCACGGTCCTGCATTTGGAACTTAGTACAGCCTTGCTGGCAGTGCCCTCATCATCCTGATCTTTTAAGGCTAGCCCACCCAATCTGAGACCCAGACAAATCACTCCAGAACTATCCAGTACTGTTTTCTCAGCTACTCTGCTCTATGCTTATTATTTTTGTATAGCTGCTGCTTTTGGGCTTTATCTTCTTCCAGACAGGATCCATTTCTATAGCCCAAACTCAGCATGTTGTCCAGGCTGATCTTGAGTTAATATTATTCCTGTTGCCTCAGTTTCCTGAGTACTGTGATTACAGGTATATCCCTCCATACCTGGCCCTTCCAAAGTCCCATAGCTGGGGGCTAGATGGGGCTGGGCTACTCTTTCTAGCCCTGCAGTTCTACTGGCAGTGTGGTAACCCTTGCCTTGCCTGTGTTCTTTTACTACCCCTAGGGTTCTAAATTCTGCTTATCTTGGTTCAGGATCTTTGGTGGTCTGTGAGGCAGGAGAGAACAACACTGAAAATTATGGGGACTGGAAAAAGGAATAGAGCCTCTGACCCTGAAGTCTGGTTGAAATTGCCCCCCACCTCCTGGGGAGAAACAAGAATGCCAGTGCAATTAATAGTTGCTTGAAGTCCTTTACAGTCTTTTTCAGCTGTAAACCTAGGAAAATTTCTAGGAATCTTACCAGAAATTCCATTTACAGGGAAAGAATGTGGTGTACTAAATGTATACAATTCCAGTAGCTTCTGGTTTTACCTTACTCGATTATTCCATCTAAGGCATCTCTGGAGCCACCCTCCAATCTTTTCAAAAGAGGAAAAAGGTTTCTTAGCAATGCTTCGAAATGTAACTTGAGGGCCACCAAAAAGGTATTACAGCTAATGCTAAGACAATTGAGGCTCTCCCTTAAGGATCCCATATCTTTAATAAAATCTCCAGCTTTTCTTCATGCTGAAATTCTTTTCTGCGTTGGAGGCATGAATCTTGGTTTGTCTTGAGTCTAGATCTCTATAAGATTAGGGGTATTCCATAGTCTGCTAAGGGTGGCCTCATGGAGCCATGTCTTTGTCCCACACTGTTGATGGAGGGAACAAGAGACTGTCATTGGGGCTGGAACCCCTCTCATTCTTTCACACAGGATTAGCCACTGCCTTGTTTTACCTTGTCTACTTAGCAAGATGTCAAGACAGTGTGGCAGGAACAGTAAAACTATACACACAGAAGCAGCTTGGACACACACACCTTAAAATGGTATTCCTGGAGACACCCAGGCCAGAGCCAGTCAGATGACACCTACCCAGAGAAAGACCTTAGCTGGGGTTTAGGGCCCATGCTGAGTCATGTTAAATGTGGCACCTTTGACAACTTGCACCCCAGTAACCCATGGGTGGGGGAAAAACTGTGTCAGAATCACAGCCAAGAAGATGAAAGGAAAGATGGTCATTGCAAAGGAGGCAATGTCATGGGGCACCAGGCCTGAAGTATCCAGGATCATGTAAACTGCTCTCAGCTGTATTTCTTGTGACTTCCTGCTGAATGCACTCCTGAAGATTCCCCAGTATGAGGGAGACCCATGTAGCACTATGTATAGTGCCATGGTGGAAGGAGCCTGTGGTTGGAATGAGAGGAACAATTTCCAGAGGATAGAGCAATTGGTCCTGGGCCTGAATTGGGGTCCCACTCATTTTGTTTTGTTAGCTGCACACTCATGGTGACAGGGAGATCTTGAACTGGCTAAATACCTAGTTTAAACTTCCTACTCTGGTATGTATCATGGCCACCTCATGTTCATTCCCTGGTACTCCATCCTTCCTCTGTTAGGAAGAAAGTTTTGCCTCCTGATGACTGTTTCATGGTTTGGGGGTGGATTGCTGTTAGGATGAAAGTGACTGGACAGCGGATTTGGGCACAAATGATGTCATGGGAACTGATAGTGTTGGCTCAGAGCAAGATGGAGAGCTTGAGAGGTAGGCAATTCCTTTTGAGGCTTGAATGCTCTTCATGTCCTCCCAAGCTCTGGAATGTGGTGGGAGTGCCAGGGAAGACACTGATCCTATCTCCAAACAAAGGCTTAGATATTACTTAAGTTCTTGCCTCTGGGCTCCAGACCTGGGTATCACCATAGGGCAGAGACTGCACTGAGGCTTCTAATCCTGCTGCTCTGAGAAACAAGGTGCTTCAGGGGCTGGGAAGGGTGGCCTTCCTCCAGGGGACAGCAGTCTTCACCTGTCAGCTGAGGCTCTTCTAGTAGTAGTCTATACATCACCCCAGAGCCCAGTGCCCTGAAGAGAAGGCCCTGAAAGGCCTTTCCTCAGGATTCTCAATCACGTTGGGACAGAATGATCAAAGCTCCCAAATGGCTTCTCCCAAGTCCCACCTCCTTTACAGTTCAGCCACTTTAAAGATTTCAAGCACTAGGAAGTTGTTTGTAGATCTTCACTGTTAAGCCTGCCCACTTTTCTGAGTTATGACTCAAAAAACATAACTTTTGTTTTTCTCTTTCTCTTTGGATCCTGCAGTGTACCTGCCATGATACTCTGGACATTCCTACTCTGTTTGATGATAACCAAAGCCCTCTGCTCCCATCCAGTGGATTGCTGACAACCATTACTGAATCTTTGCTCTCTGGGACCCTGACTCCAATGGAATGGTTTTCACCCTCTCTTTCCTGTCCATTTCCTTCCTCTCAGTTACTAACCAAGATTTATAACTTTCCTCACTTGTTTTTCTTTCCAACTCATAAAAATGGTCCTTAAAACCTAATTGGGGGATGAGGAACACAAAGCATGGATCCCAAGGTCTGGTGAATACTAGGCAAATAGCCTATCAATAAACTACATTCCTAGCTGTGCCCCCCCCCTCTTAATTTTATTTTATGTGAATTAGTGTGAAGGTGTCAAATCCCTTGGAACTGAGGTTACAAACAGTTGTGAGCTGCCATGTGGGTGCTGGGAATTGAACTTAGGTCCTTTGGAAGAACAGACAGTGCTCTTAACCACTGAGCCATCTCTCCAGCTCCTGGACCCCCCCTTTTAAAAGTTTTTTTTGTCCATTTATTTCCTTGTGTATATACATGTGCAAAAATAACCCTGAGAACACACATACACACAGAAATTGTGGAGGTCAGAGGACAACTTTTAGGAAATGGTCATCTCCTTCCAACATGTGGGTTCCAGGGATCAAGCTGAGGTCATCAGGCTTGATGACAAATGGCCATATTACAGAGTTATCCCACTACATCCCCCCACCCTGCCATAACCCTATCTGTTTATATTGAGACAGGTCTGTCTGTAGTTCAAGCAGACCTTGAACTAACTAGCAGTTCACCTGCTTCAGCATCCTGAATAGCTGGAATGATTACAAGTCTGTGACATCATACCACCACATTTGTATTTTGGCTTTTTTTTTTTTTTAATAGTTTCTTACTATGTAACTCTTACTGTCCAGGAACTTGTTATGTAGGCTTGCCTGTTGAACTTACGGCATTACTCTTGCCTCTGCCTCCCAACTGCTGAGGTTACAGGTATATGCCACTAAGTTTATGCTTTTTTAAATATCAGCTATGGTGAAGCCCAGATTGGACTCAAACCTTCTGCAATCCTCCTGTCTCATCCTCCTGAGTGCTGGGGTTACAGGTGTGTACCAACACACCCAGCTGGATTACCTTTTTCAGTCACCCATCAGTTATGTAGTTGGTGGACCTCTGTTTTGATTAGACCCTGAATTATTACCATGGCAGATACAGAGAACCCTTTCCTCCTTTGTGAGTGTGGCTACTCTGCCCCATCTGAAGCTGGGTGTGGAGAGCTGCTTGTTTGTCAAGCTGCCTTGTTTTTTATTGGAAAACATGTTTTCACCCTGGCCTTCAGAGAAAAGTTTCGCCAAGTTCCTTAAAACTTGTTTGTGTGACTTTGGACCATATCTGCTATAGAGAAATAGTTTTAGAAAAATTTGGCAGTTCCACGAACTTCTTTTTGTATTGATGTGGCTTGTTTCTGCTTTGCCTATGAAAAAGGAATTGTGGAATAAACTCACGCTGCAGGCTTACTGACAGCCCTCTCGAACTGATCCTTTGTGTAGTGTGACTTGGCTCTAATTCAGTCCTCACTCCCCACTCAGGAACTGTTCGGCTCTGCTGGTGGGCTCTGGCAGCTGGGCACCCCCTCTGTATAAGCCAGAATATATCCCACATGAAAGCAGTGCTATAATGCTAAAGTGTGGTGCTGTTGTGGAAGGGGGTGCATAGCCTGCCAGGAGGCCGTGTGTGCAGAGGCTATGCCAGCAGGGAAACAGCAGAGGAACCGGACAGTCGGGGAGGCAACATCTATTTATTGAGCACCTACTGAAGACCAGACTCTAGGTGGGCCCAATACGCCAGCCTCACAACAATCCTGTGAGATGTTTTGATCTACTCGGTGCTGTGCACGCGTTGGTGCTGGATGAGCTTGGTGCTCTGGTGGAACCGGTGGCCACAGTCCTGGCAAGCGAAGGGCTTTTCAGGCCGGTGAGTGCGCAGGTGCTGTGTGAGCGTGGGCCGCTGGCGGAAGGCCTTGCCACACTCGGGACACTCGTAGGGCCGCTCGCCCGAGTGGATGCGCCGGTGCTGGGTAAGGTTTGCATGCTGCCGGAAGCTCTGGCCGCACTCGGAGCAGGCGAAGGGCCGCTCACCGGTGTGGATGCGCTGATGCTCGGTGAGCCGGGACACCTGCGTGAAGCCGAGGCCGCACTCAGAGCAGTGGTAGGGCTTCTCGCCCGTGTGGCTCCTCTGGTGGCGCGTGAGCTTGAGTCGCTGGCTGAAGCGCTGGCCGCACTCGGGGCAGGCGAAGGGCTTCTCGCCTGTGTGCACACGTAGGTGCTGCGTGAGTGTGGGCCGCTGGCGGAAGGACTTGCCACACTCGGCGCAGGCGAAGGGCCGCTCGCCGGTGTGGATGCGCCAGTGCTGGGTGAGGTTGGAGCGCTGCCGGAAGCTCTGGCCGCAGTCGGCACAGGCGAAGGGCCGTTCGCCGCTGTGCACGCGCCGATGCTGCAGCAGCACAGAGCGGCGCCCGAAGCGCTCTCCGCACTCCACGCAACCAAAGGACTTGTCCCCGGTGTGCACCGCCTGGTGCTCGAGCAGCACGGCGCGTCGTGGGAAGCTCTCACAACACTCACTGCACGGGAAGGGGCCCAGGGGCTCGGGGGTTCCTGGGAGGGTCAGGGTGGGTGGCCTTGGACCCGACGATGAGTCACCATGAGTGCGCTGGTGCTGCAGTAAGTTGGAACGCTGTCGAAAGCTCTGGCCGCACTCCATGCAGAGGAACGGCTGCTTACCCGTGTGCACGCGCCGGTGCTCCTCCAGGCGCGCGCTGCGCTTGAAGCGCTGGCCACAGTCGCAGCACACGAAAGGCCGCTCCTCAGTATGCGTGAGCTGGTGGCGCAGCAGGTGAGAGCTGCGGCTGAAGCTGCGGCCACACTCGACACACACAAACGGTCGCTCACCTGTATGGATCTTCTGGTGCCGCAGCAGATTGCTTCGCTGGCTGAACACCTTGCCACACAAGTCGCAGCGGCTGCCTTGAATCCCTCTGGTCCCTGTGCTAGGGCGGCAGCCCCGACTCCGGCCCCTTGGGGCATGCCAGTGAGTCGCTACCAAAGCTGGACCCATACCGGGGCAGGGGTCCTCGAAGGCAGGCTCCTGTTCACCTCTCTGGTCGCTGTGGAGTTGGAGGGCATGGGCGAAGCCACCTTCTCGGGTAGGGGACTGCATCTGTCCAGAGAGGTTAGCCATGTCCAGATCCCAGGGGACCTGGAGGTGGGGGCTCATCGCATCTGGCTCTGTGGCAGTGCTGTCCATCTGCAGCAAAAATCCTGTACAAGGGGACCCATTCTCTTATGAGACTCTGCCTTTCTGTCCTACCCACGGAACTCTGGGAGACTGAACTACAGGCCTGGAACTGGCCAGTGAGGCAGACAGGATTGTGGCAGTTCTATCTGAACAGGTTTTCCCGAGGTGGGCAAGGTCCTGAGTGAAGAAAACATTAAGGTATGTGTAAAGGCTTTCCTGATTTGACTTAAATCATTGGTGTGAAAAACACCTCTTTCTGGGGTAACAGTGGGGCCCTGTTTAGCCAATGAGGGTCTTAGAAAATGCAAAGAATGTGGATTCGATAAAAGCCAGAGGTGACTTCAACAGGAAGCAGTGTGTGTGTGAATGCAGTTCTTACGTCTCCGGTTTAGACTTGCCACACTTGAGATGACCCAGGCAAGGGGATTCTAATGTAGGCTTTGGGGTTGGTGATGAGATGAGCAGGGGCTAAATATGCTCAACATGGGAGCTGTCCACTAGAAGTATGTCCTTGCTACAGAGTGAGCCTTCAAAGGTGCAAGCCTCAGGCACGATGGACTACAGAGTGAGCTTCCAGTGTAAGAGGTTTATCAGGGAATGAGCTGTCCATCAAGACAACTGGGGTTGGAGACAAAATGGGTGACAGAAAATCCATGAGGCATCAAAGGGAAGTAAGATAAATTAGAATGCACCAAAAGAAACCAGAATCAAAAGCAGACCTAACAACTCTCCAGAGACTAAGGGGCTAATTTACTACAGAGCTTCAGTAAAGCAACAGTGTGACCAGACAGCTACATCGTGGAAGAATGTGACCAAGATAAAAAAAACGTATCTGACTGTTTAAACTCCATAGAATATGCCAGTCCCTGCTTAGAAAAAGTCACAGGGGCTGAATTGACACATTGTGTCTGAGATTCTTGTTATTTATTTATTTTTCCAGAGGTGGGACTTGAACCTAGGAGGTCTCATGTGGGAGGCAAATATTCTATCATTGAGCCACATCCCCCACTCTGTTTTCACATTCTTTTCTTTTTTATGATTTTTTTTCATGTATAAGTGTTTTCGGCTGCATGTATGTCTCTGCATCATCTGCGACCATTGTGGCTTCAGTGCCTGTTAAGACCTTAAGAGGAGGTTGGATTTCCTTGCACTGGAGATGGTTGAATGCTGACATGTGGATTCTGGGAATTGCATGAGAAGTCAGGGTGCTTTTAACTGCTAAGCTCTCTCTCTCTCTAATCCTGCTTCTATAATAAAAAAAATATGTACATTGGTGTTTTATCTGTAGTCTGCATGTCTGTCTGTCTGTGAGAGTGTTGGATCTCCTGGAACTGGAATTACAGACGGTTGTGAGCTGTAATGTGGGTGCTGGGAATTGAACTCCTGGTCCTCTGGAAGAAGAGCCAGTACTCTTAGCCGCTGAGCCATCTCTCCAGCCCCACTTTCATAATCTTTAAGTGTTTGTGTGTATTGCTGGCACAACACAGGGTGTGTTGGAAAATTCAATCAATATAGCAAATGAACTGGGCATGGATGGTAAGTACTTTCAATCTCAGAATCTGGGGGATGAAGATAGAATTTCAAAGTTGTTATCTGCTACAAATCAAGTTCAAGGCCAGCTGGGTTATATGAGCTACTATTTTGAAAACAAAAAACCAAAACAACCCCACAAAAACTAAAACAGCAGTATTCCACACTGTCCCAGGAATTACACTTTCAGGTATTCCTATTTAGTAGTTGTGTTCCTCTTGTGTTAATGACTAATGAACAGGGCTTTCCAGTATGTAATGGAAAGCAATCCACAAGGGCTATGGACAGAGGATTGATCACAGTGAGCCAGGAGCCTGCAGAACTGTCTGAAGATCTGTGGCGATCCCTATTCTTTGCCAACCATATGGCATGAAAACAGGATTAAGGTCATTTGGGCATTCATGAGAACTTTTTTTTTTTTTTTTTGTAACTATTAAGTGTATGTATGTATGATTGCATGAATTTGTGTCACCATGTGTATGCAGGTGCCCTAGAAGGCCAGATCCCCTGGAACTGGAGTTACAGGACACTGTGAACCTTCTAATATGGGTTTGAAAGGTAGTAAACACTCTTAACCACTAAGCTCCCTCTCTTTCTAGCCCCAATTTTTTTTCTTAAAGTATATGTTTAAAACCTATTGTTTATTGTTTTTTTCTTTTAAAAATTTATTTATTATCTATAAATGCATGCCAGAAGAGGGCACCAGATCTCATTATAGATGGTTGTGAGCCACCATGTGGTTGCTGGGAATTGAACTCAGGACCTCTGGAAGAGCAGCCAGTGCTCTTAACCACTGAGTCATCTCTCCAGCTCCCTTTTTATTTTTTTCTTAAAAGATATAGTTAAAAACTATTATTTATTGCTGTGCGTGTGCTTATGCTGTAGTGCACTTGTGTAGGTCAGAGGACAACCTACAGAGTTTTTTCTTTTCATCATGGGGGTTTCTGGTGAGTCACCTCACCAAGCAAGGATTGTTCATATTTATTTATTTACTTGTGTTTTTTTTTTTTTTTTTTTGAGACAGTCTCACTATGTATCCCTGGCTGTTTTGAGACTCACTCTGCAGACCAGCTGTCCTCAAACTCACAGAGTTTGCCTCTGCCTTCAATTGCTGGGACTAACAGTATGTGTCACTATGCCTGGATTGCTCATTAAGAAAAATTTTTAAGGGGCTAGAGAGATGGCTCAGAGGTTAAGAGCACCAGCTGTAATTCCAGAGGTCCTGAGTTCAATTCTCAGCAACTACATGGTGGTTCTCAACCATCTATAATGAGATCTGGTACCCTCTTCTGGCATGCAGGCACAACATTGTATACATAATAAATAAATAAAACTTTTTAAGAAAAAAAATTTTAAGCCAGGCATGATGGCACACTCCTGTAATCCCAGCATCCTGTGAGGCAGAAGCAGGCGAATCTCTGTGAGTTCCTGGCCAGCTTGGTCTACAGACGAGTCTAGGATAGCCAAGGCTACCCAGAGAAACCTGGTCTCAAAAATATGTTTTGCTTACATGTATGACTGTGTACCACATGCATGCTTGGGGCCAAAGGAGGCCAAGGAGGGTGCTAGGCCACCAGAATTGGAGTTAGAGTTGGTTGTGAGGCACCCGCACTTTCCAGCTCAAAGGCTGTTAGTTTTAAAACACTTTTTATTTGAGACAGGGTCTGTATAGCTCTGGCTAGCCTGGAACTCATTATGTAAGCAAGTCTAGCCTTGAATTTACAATGCTCCTCCTGCTTCCATGCACCTGAACTGAGATTAAAGGTGTGTAGCACTGTGTCCCAGCATTTTTATTTTAAATTATGTACATATGTATATGTTTATATGCTTGTGAGTGCAGTGACCTCAGAGCTCAGAAGAAAGCATCAGGGCTCTTGGAACTGGAGTTACAGGGGGTTGTGAGTTGCCTGACCTGGGTGCTAGGAACCCAATCTGGATTCTCTGCAGAAGGACTGTGCCCTCTTATCTGAGGAGTGATTTCTCTAGCCCCTAAAACATTTTCTTCTTTTTAAACTTTTCTGACCAGTGCATGGTGGTACATGCCTATAATCCCAGTACTTTGTGGTGTTTGAGGCAGAAAGACTGAGATAAATTTGATGTCAGCTTTGAATATAAATGGAATCAAGACTCCCTGGATACATAGAGAAAAACAATGACTCAACCAAAAACCAACCAAACAGGGCTGGAGAGATGGCTCAGAGGTAAGAGCACTGGCTGCTCTTCCAGAGGTTCTGAGTTCAATTCCCAGCAACCACATGGCTCACAACCATCTATAAAGAGATCTGGTGCCCTCTTCTGGCATTCAGGTGTACATGCAGATAGAACACTGTATACATAATAAATAAAATATTAAAAAAAAAAAACCCAACCAACCAAACAAAACAAAAAACCCCACAACAACAAAAACCCCAAAGAAACCAAACCAAAAAAACTTAAAAAATCCAAACAACAATAAAAAACTTGTATTTAAAATTATTTTATTTTATGTATGTATGGATGTTTTGACTGTATATATGTCTTTGTACCATGTGTACAGTGCCTGTAATGGCCAGCCAGATCCTTTGGGTTTTGAGCCACCATGTAAGTGCTGGGAATCAAACCTAAGTCCTCTGGAAGAGTAACCTTTACTTTTAATCACTGAGCTATTTCTCCAGTCCCATAAAAAACATCTTTCTGCTTTTTGTTTTTTGGCTTAAAACAAAAACATCTTACTATGTAGCCCTGGCTACATAGAGCCTGCTATGTAGATCAGGCTGGATTTAAATTTACAAAAAGTCTGGTAGCCTTTGCCTCTCCAGGGCCACCATTTCTTGCTTGCTGTGTGCTTTTGAAACAGCGTTTTACTATGTATCCTAGACTGGGTCTACTTGTGTTTATAAAAGGCTACTGAGCATGACCTGGCTGTCCAGGTATGTGTCGCTTAAGTAAAGGGAAAACTCTTGAGAAAGGTGTTGTCAAGTGGCTTTTTACATTAAAACCAATTTTTTTTTTTTTTTTTTTTTTTTTGTTGCATGTGTATATGTGGCCACATGCATGCCATGATGCATATATGGAGGTCAGAAGACAACCTGTGGGAAGTGATTTTCTCATTCCACCATGTGGGTCCCAGAGAGTAAACTCAGGTTGTCAGGCTTAGTAGCACTGCTTGCGTCATCTTGCTAGCCCTAACTTTTGAGACAGGATCTTACACTGTAGTCCAAGCTGGCCCTGATAACATGGCAAACCTCCAGTTTCTCCCTACCATCTGCATCTGCCTCCCAAGTGTTAGGTGTATAGACCCATATCCAGCTTTGGCAGTAATTGTTGTTTGTGGTCTGGGCTGACCAATACACTGTTATGCATGATTATATTCTGTCTGCTCCTTTGTACTCAGATTCTTTCTGAAGGCATGGACAGATCTTGTCATGTTGGCTATTGGGCACAGATGGGGCACTGCACTGTGTACTCTTTGTACACTGTTCAGAGTTTCTACCATGTGAATGCATTAATTCTGGGTACTGCTCTGAGCTGGTTCAACTTTGTGAAACAAGCTTGCTTTTGCCCCATGGCAGCTGGGTTTAGGGCAAGGCAGCTTCTACATATGAGCAGGACTATTACCTGCTAACTATGTAGGGCAAGCCCCAGCTGCAAAATGGTTTAGGATGGGTGGTCCTGTTGAGCCATTTCTTACTCAGGATAAAACAAACCATGATTGTCTCTAGGCTAGGCTGTTGTTAGCCAGGATCCATCCCAAATGCAGTTATTCCAAAGCTCTAGGACACTGAGATGTTGCTTGACTTGCACATGAAGACTCACTGCTACCCAAAGCAGCCCTGTAGAATGGCTCTATGGAGACAGGTTCTCTTTACTGTCTTGCTTGCTGATGTACTACAGTGTATCAAACTATTTCTGCCTTGTGATTTTATTGGATTCATTTGTATCTGCATGCCACTAGCCTTCCAGTGCTGTCCCTGGCATGGCATTAACATTTAAAATAGTATCATAATGAATCACTAAAAAGATCTCTGGGAGTAGAGTTCTAATAGTAGAGTTAGCATGTGCAAAAGCCCGGGGTTCAAACACTATCACCACTGTCACCACAACCACCAAATAACTAAGAGGGCTGGGGATGTGTGTCAGCTGGTAAGATGCTTGTGGCATGCATGAAGCCCTTGGTTCTATCCACAACACTGCATAAACCAGGAAAGGTATTCTGTTCCTATAATCTTCAGCATGTGGGAAGTAGAAGCATGAGGATTAGTTGTTTGAGATCAAGCTCAGCTACATATTGAGTTTCATGCCAGCCTAGGATATAGTAGACCCTGTCTCAACACTAAACAGTAACCAAAACTGGCGACCTCCAATAACCAATAACCAAAACTCTGGCGACCACAAATGGCACAGTTGGAGGATGAGGCAAGCAGCTAAGGCATGACAGGGGTCATGGAGTGAAGATGAATTGATGCTTGAAAGCAAGAGGTATGGTGCTTACAGCAAGAACAGCTGGAGGAGGAAGCAGCCAGGGGCCTGAAGCACTACTGCCAGTGTGCCTGCAACAGAGCTGAGAGGCTGGCACTGTGGAGGACAAGGGAAGCGGGCCTAAGCGCTGCAAAGTGGCCCCTGCCCAACACGAGCAGGGCTGGTCAAGACAGGTGAAGGCCGAGGTGGCAGTGGTCAAGACAGGTGAATGCTGAGGCAGTAGGCACTTGTGCTGGATGCTCTTTTCTGCCTCAGTGTGCTGCCAAGGCTGATGGCCTGAGTTGTATCCTGAGTATCCACATGACGGAAAGACAAAAGTGACTCCTGCCATCTGTCATCTGAACTCTACATACGTACACACATACACCTGCTCAGACTCACACACAAACAAAGAGGGTGGAAAATGAGAGTGATGACATTAAAGGACCATCCCAGAGGCCAAGAGCCTTGGTTTACACCATCACACCATGCTCGAAAGAAACTTTCCGTGCTCAGAGGGTAGGAGCACTGGCTGCTCTTCTAGAGGTCCTGTGTTCAATTCCCAGCAACCTCATGGTTGCTCACAACCATCTATAAAAAAATTCCCTACTAGTAAAATATATGAATTTCAGATAGAGAGGATTCATCAACAGTAGTAGTTAAAAAGAAAAAAAAATCTTGCAGATGAGTCCAACAGAACAGTCTGGGACTGGGGTATAGCTCAGAGGAAAAACTGCCAAGGAGGAGCTAAGGCAAGGCTCAGTGGTGGGACTAATGCCTAGAATCCACCAGTGAGAGGCTGGAGGCATGGCTCAGTACAGAATTCTTGTCCATAATCAGTGGGAAGCATGGGTGTGGCTCAGTGATAGTATGCTTGCCTAGCATGCACAATCCCTGAATTCCAAACCCAGGATGGAAGAATAAACTAACAAGGGCTAGAAAAATGTATTTCAGATCTATAAACCACTCAGAGTTTTACTTCCCATCCCAGAACTCACAGGGTGATACACCTGAATTAGGAAGTAAATCAAGAAAGAGCAGAGCCAATGTGACTGGGCGGGGTCCACCTCTGTCCTCAGCAGTTACCTGTGCTGTGTCAGAACTACTCATGCCTTGTTTACTATTAAGGTCTCTTTGCCAGATCCCAACATCTCTGCTCTAGTATCCAAGCAGAGTCTGGATTCCATGCAGAATGCCATGACTGGGAGGGGTTGTGGAGAATGAAAGGTCTGTTTTCAGGAAGGTATTATGACATAGGGCAAAGTCAGGAAGAGCCAAAGGCTGAGTGGCACAGAATGCTAAAGCAGTCAATTGCCGTGACTGGACTATCTTAAGTAGGGATAAGAATTCATGAATGTAGTGGAACATGAGGAGGGCTCAATCTCATTGATTCCATTTACTAACCTGGTGAAAAGATGCCCCCTATTTCCTCATGCCACAGGGCCACAGGGTCCTCGCTCCATGGGGACACATCAGGCTCAGTGTTGCTGTGAGGAGAGGTCTGGTCCAGTACTGTCTCATGGCCCTGAAACCACAGTGGTCACTGTTGGACTTTGCCTGGCTGGGCTCAGAGGACCTATCTAACACCCACCCATTATAGGGCAGAAGGTCACTCACATTCTGTGTAGGACCCACCTGGGCCTTCTTAGGTAGGAGGGTGGCTGCAGCCTCTTGGGCAGCAGGAAGAAGCCCAGACTCCAGGAGCTCTGGGGAGAAAAAGTGGGGTTAGGCACCACAAGAAATTTCCCACCCTTCTTAATGGTGCTAGGTGCTGGGTTCCAGACCTGAGGGAGATATGGGGCACAATCTCAAGGCTGGAAAGGACAAGACAGGACAGCTGAGGGCCCAGTGGGAATAGCGTCAAATAGGGTTTTCTGAAAGGCAGACAGATGAGACAAACACTGGTTTGTAATCTGTATCTCTGTGGGTCCCAAGGCAGTCTGTCCCATGATGCTTGTGGAAATCTGTGGAAACGGAGCTGTGGTGGTCAGGGATACGGGGGAGAGGAAGGGCAGAGGCACACTGAAACTATTTCATCTAGCAGGCTCTGGCTCAGTGGAGTGTAATCAGTCTTGCCCAAATAGGCTTCAGGCCCTGTCCACTTTGCCTGCTCTCACCTGAATTCTCCATCACTTCTGTCTCCTCTTTCATTTGAAGGTCCAGCAGCAATTCTTGCATGGCCCCAGGGGGAGTCTCAGCCCGAGGCTCTGGAGCCTGAAGCTTAATGTGAGGTAGAGGCTGGAAGCTGGAGGGTTCCATCTTTTCTGATAGGACCTCTTTGCCCTGCACCTGGACTGTGACCTAGGGAGATGCAGAGACCAAGGAGAGAATGGGACTAGGAACAAACCATGGTCTAGGGAACCCACTCCACTGTAGGACCTCCTGGTCAACCCATACTGACTAGGTCCTTCTAAGTCCTAAGCTTCCCTTTTTCCCTTTCTTGAACCTGAGCAGAAAACAAAAGGACTGTTTGCTGGCACAGGGGGTTGTCTCATCTAGCTTAGGGGATGACAGGTAATGCAGGTATGGGCCCCTGTCCTGAGCAGCTTCACAAAGGATTCCTGTTATAGGTAGCCACTGCTGTATGACCAAGGACCAATGCCATGACTGGGCATGGCATTCCCAGAGGGAGGCAAACCTTGATAGTGCTCTAGCCCTGACTTTCCACCCAGCTACTGACTCACCCATTTCCGAGGTCCGTCCAGCTCCCATTGAAGCCTGTCAAGCAAGGCAGCAGCCTCCTCAGGGCTGCCTGGCCACTGCCCTCGCACACGAGTCTGGATCTCAGGGGGCAGTGCACCTAGGAACTGCTCCAACACCAAGAGTTCTAGCATCTGTTCCTTGGAGTGTACCTCTGGGCGTAGCCACTGGTAACACAGCTCTCGGAGCTGGGCCAGAGCTTCCTGAGGACCTATTGCCTTCTCATAACGGAAGCACCGAAAGCGTAGACGCGCAGCCTCAGGGCCTGGGTCCCACAGAGTGTCCTCTCCCTCCTCCTCAGCATCCTCCAGCTTCACCAGGACGGGCTCATTTTCTGGGGGTGCACGACCTGGGGAGCCCAGCACAGTGGGTCTCATCAGGAGTGCCAGATCAGGTCTTTGAGGCCAATGTCTGCCCCTAGGGAAAGAATAGTATGAGGCATCTGGAATAGTGACAGATGGGGGCAATGAATGCTTACTGAGCGCCTACTGCATGCTGTATTGTTTGATCCTGGGACCTTCTCCATGCAGAGGACATGTAAGGGAACAGGCACTGACAGGTCAGCCACAACCCAGAGACCAGCGGGAACTCTGAGCCACTTGCTTTGCTGACCTCTCCAGCTGGGCCTATAAGTGTCTGGTAGCTTACCGTGTTCTAAATACATGTTGCTCCTTAGGCTTAGAGACATTTCTCTTCCCTAAATCCTATTCCTTTAGCAGCGGCCTCATCCCAGAAGCTGCCTCACTACTTGCATCTGGGCATCAGTATACCACTGCTGGCTCCTCCCAGACTCCCAATTAACAGTCCCTTAATGTTTTCTACCCAGTCTCAGACTTGGCCCTTCTCTCACACCCCACCATTCCCCTCCCAGTGTAGTCACCCCAGAAGGACAGCCCTACTCCACTTGATCCCCCATCTCAACTTCTCTCAGGCAAATATCTTTCCACTCCTCTCCAACACTAGAAGCTAATTTATTATATCTAGCAATGATCCATTTCTTCAGCTCTCTGATTTAGTTGGGGTTGGGAGGTGACCGGGGGAATTCTGAGGACCCTCAAAGGCCTCCAAATCACTGGACCAAGAGGCTGCAAAGAAGGGCCAAGAGACTGATTTCTCTGTGCCTATGTGAACTGCAGTTTCTGACCTGCAAATAGGGCTGATTTCCTCTCCCCAGATACTTTCTGCATCTGGGACTTTGTGAAAATCTGAATTTAGTATTGGGGTGACATCAAGCGTTAGCTTGATGTCTATGGATTACACCTCCTTTCCTCAGAGTGCCAAGTCAATAAACCTAGAGAGTAACTTGGAACAACCACTAAGCAAGTAATGTCCGGTCGCCATGGCAACGATGACGCCAGCATAGGGCTGGCCGGCAGGGAGTTCCGGGCTCCTGCCAGCGCTACGGGTTTGCCTCCCAGAACCCACTCCTCTATCCGTCAAATCCCAAGGCTTCCCAGTGAAGGGACTCCCAGCCTTTCTTCAGTGGTTCGAGGAAGGCTGCGCGCTCCTAAACGTGCACATTCCCGTTCGCTTCATTCATACTAGACTACATTTCCCAGACTGCTCCGCGCGCAGCTTCAAGCCCTCCTGCCCTTCCCCCACCTTTGCCTTCCTTTGTACCCTTCTTCCCGTCCCCAGGAGATTGCTGTAGTCGCAAGGATCAGGTCGCACTCCTGGCCGTTTCTTCCCACTCTGCCTGTCTCGAATCCAGGCATCAGGACACTGTCGACGTGCACAATCCTCTCGGGGGGCAACGGATGGCAGCACCGCCTTGCAAGACAGCGCATGCCCTCCACCACATTTTTGTCAATTCACTACGGGCCTTCCCAGGGATTTGCAGGGTTCTGCACCAATCACCGCTCTCACTAGGACGCCATCAGCCTCTCCGTCTCCATGGCAACCCCGGTCCGGAGGGTCGCCCCCTCCGCTACCTCCTGAGCTGTTGGGCAAAAGATTCAGCTAGATGCTTTTTGGGAGTCGTAGTCGGGAGGGCACTCCGTGTGTGCAAGCGCCGCACCATCAGACTTCTTTTGTACTTTTGCGCGGTGGGTGGGTTTCAGCGTGGTTCCATGGTAATCAGGGGACAAGACTGGTGCTATCCTAGGTAACGACCGGACTACCTGATTTAGGAAAGGCAGTTCGGTTGTGTGGTGAGAGCATGGGGAGGGAACAGGGACACAAATACCCAGAGATAGCTATGGAGGAAGGCAGAGATACCAGTACACAGAGGAGGAGAGCTGCCCGAAAATTGCGAGGGCGAAGACTGGATGCGAAGAGAGACAGCGAATATCAGTGAACGCACACAGAGGTATAGTTCTGAATGAAAGGGCGGGTTTCATTCATTAAAGTCAGAATTAGGACCTGAGATCATGTCAAAAAAAAAAAAAAATAGCGAGAGGAAGCAGAAAGGGATTGGGTTAGGAAAGTGAGACATCGAGACTCTTGGGACCCATCCGAGTACAAAGGTAAGCAGGAGGAAAAGACGGAAATTAGAGATAAATTAAGATGGACTGATAAATTTCAAAAACTGAGAGAAAGATGGCAACAAAAAGAGACAGTTGGATGTATGTGTGTGGGAGACATTTTGAGAGAAAACAAACAGAAAATTTGACGATACAGCAGAAAGATGATCTGGAGTCCTCTAGTTTCCTAGTGTCATTTACCAAACTCATTTTGAGACACCTGAATACTTAAACATAGCAATCCCCCCTCCCCCCGTTATCTTTGGTTGTGTTACGCTCATGTCTCGACGACCCCAAAGACCACGAAGGAGCTGATTCCAAAACAAACGCTCGAACTTGGGCCCACACTGTCATTAAGGCAGCGGTGTAGAGTGTAGAGCTCAAGGGGAGGAGGGTTTTTAAAGGGTTACAGTGAGTTTGGGAAATTACAGCTTAACAGTTACACAATTGGGTAACATTCAGCAAGGGCAAAGTGATTGTGGTTAACTATCATTGAGCAAGCTATCTATAGACCTCAGGAAGGTTAGGAATTTCTGTGCCTTGAAAGTTCTACTACCAGGTGGGTGGACTGCCCAGCACAGATGCCCCACCCTGAGATAAGATACCTTCCCATTCTTGTGGTTACCTCCAGGCTATTCCTTGGATAGAAAATTTTATTGTCTTCTTCCTGGAATTGGTGACTTATGGCCTAGTTCCTGGGACTGGTGACTTTTGGGAAGGGGGTCAGGCAGGCCCGGTTCTCTCAGTTGAAGGCCATACACTATTCTGGCAGAAATTGATTTACTTGAAACAGTTGGGTTGCAAATGAGTTCTGCCCAGCACATCACATGAATTAGTTCTGTATCCTTACATCCAACCTTTTGTTTTATTTCAGATTCATTCATTGAATCTTCGTGGAACCACCTTTGCTACCTTTCTGGTTTCCTTGAAGCATAAAAATTTTTGACACATGTCTTCTAGGGTCGTGGTTCTTGTCTGTCTGTCTATCTATCTATCTATCTATCTATCTATCTATCTATCTATCTACTATTTTAGACAGGGTTTCACTGTCTTGTCCTGGCCCTCTCTATGTAAACAGAGTGACCTCATATTTAAAGATCCCTCTGTTCTTGCCTCCTGAATGATGGGATTAAAGTCTTGTGCCATGGCCACTGTGCGCAGTCTTGTTTTTGATAGTGTCTTGGATGGCCTAGGTAGACCTCCAGCTTTCTGTCCTCATGATGAATAACAAGTCCTCAAGTAAGAGGACTTGATAGTACTATTTGTTACATATGGCTCTTTCTAAATTGAACATTTGATCATTTTGCTTTTACCTCCCAGTTGTTGGGTAGTAAACATTAACATTCCAAAAGGAGGAATAGGAGAAAGCACTGGAGCAGTGAACCAGAGTGAGGCTGGAACCTGACAAGAAAAAAATCTTGTAGCATCATGTCCAGCATACTCCAGTGGTTTGATTGAGCTTCAGTGATCCTGGGCAGCCCCTACACCTAAGGCCTTACTCTTTGCAGCCAGATAACCCCTTTCTCACACTGTCTCCCTTTACTGCCTGTGTCTTTTCTCAGCAGACATACCACGTACTATGTCCCTGCCATCTCCAACATCTTGGGGTCTTCATTCTTAGAGCACAACACACAGCCCTCTTGTGGTAGGAGGAGGAGTCTCCCAAGGGCTACGAGGAAGAAAATTGCAAAAGAGCATTGTGGCTTAGTCAGTGTTTACGAATGTACATGTAGATTGGTCAGTGCCCTCATGTAGCAGAATTTCAGCCAGAACCATTGTATGGATATGGAATGAATATGGATGAATGGCACCTAAATATGAATATGGATATTCATGAATATGGAATGATGGCACCTAAGCTTTGAAGTAGCCTTTTGTCAGTGATTGTTACCTGAGATTTTATGGGGTTGTTCTTTTGAAGGCTTCTCGGATCCTTTGCATAATTTAGTCCAGAGATATGTCTGGCAAACCAGAGAAAGTTTCATATGGCTGATAATTGCTTAGGTAATGGGTCTTTCAAGATAACATCTAGTTCAGATACTAGGTTTTGGTATGAGGAAATTTACTTGCTAAAAGTGCCATTAGTGTAATAATAAAAAAAGTTTCTAGGAAGTTGTCAGAGTTCAGTCCTTGAGAGACTGATCCCCTTGATGTTGAGAAGCCTAAATTCATCCTGTAGTCCCTCTCATTTCTTAGATCAATTTTCCAGCAGCATAACTCAGAACACCCACACCTCCCTGTGGACATGCAAACTATGTCTCTCCTATAAGTTCTCTCTTCTCCCTCTCTTCTCATTCTAGCCACTCATTAACTACCTAGTAGTTAAAAACATCCAATTAAAACGTATGTAGAGCTGTATGGGAGACAAAATGTCTGAAAGCCTCAACTCTATAGCATTTGGGGCTCTAGACTTTGGCTTTAAAGCCTGGTGACCAATACAACAAACTACTTCCCAATAATAGTAGCCTTCAGTTCTGGCTTCTTTCTTTTTTAACAGTACTTATAGTCCCTTTTTTTTGGATGTATTTATTTTATTTAATGTGTATGAGAGTTTTATCTGCATGTACATATATGCAACCTTCAGTGCCTGAGGCCTTAAGAGGTGATAAGGGTTAGTATTTATTTAAAAATGATGCCACACACACACAACAGATATTATATGAAAGAGATTTATTGGATGGAGGTGGAGATATAGAGAAGAAAAGGAGAGAAAGAGACTTGGTGTGGGTCCCCCAGGAAAGAAATTGAGGTGGAGAGAGGAAGAGAGGAGAGTAAGAAAGAGACAAAGTGGCAGGTTGGTTCTTTTATAGCTTGTACATGTGCAGCTGAAAACTGTGCCTGCCACACATCTGGTGGGCGACACATCATGACATCATAGGTTACTAAGCAACCCAGTAGCAGGGTGCCTATATGCTAACAATAAGAGGACATCAGAGATCAGAAGGTTTTTTATTGCCTGGAACTGCAATGATGGATAGTTATGAAACACCATGTGAGTGCTAGGAATTAAACCTAGGTCTTCTGCAAGAGCAACAAGTACTCTTAACCACTGAGCCATATTTTTCAGACACAGGGACCTGTTTCTTGAATTAGAAACCCTGTGATTGTGCTGGAGGGATGGCTCAGAGTTTAAGAACACTGGCTGTTCTTCTGAAGGTCCTGAGTTCAATTCCCAGTCAACCACATGGTGGCTCAGAACTATCTATAGTAAGATCTGGCGTGCAGGCAGAATGTTGTATAAATAATAAATAAATCTTAAAAAAAAAAAAAAAAAGAACACTGGCTGTTCTTCCAAAGGTCCCGAGTTCAATTCCCAGTAACCATATGGTGGCTCATAACTATTTATAGTGAGATCTGGTGCCCTCTTCTGGCATGCAAGCAGAATACTCCATAAATAATAAATAAATCTAACAAACAAAAACCCCTGTGATTCTCTCAAAGGCTGCATGTAGGGACTCTTACCCTACCTATCCATTGCCTGGACTACCAAGCTATCTTTCAAAAGCTGGTGATGAGCTTCATTACCTACAGTCTACATGTTTGCAAAACCAGTATTATGTGTCTGGTCCATCTAGAGCAGGTCCCTTGATCCTCTTAGATCATGATTGTAGCAACCTTTAAGCATTGGGGCAGCTGAGTAGTCTGAATACTGGGGAAACATTTTTCAAGGTTGTAGCTCTGTTTAACTAGGGAGTTCCTTTCTCAACAGAAAGGTTCACCCTTTCCACCTTTGAGCCAGAGATCAGAGATGGGTGGTATCTGGCTGTTTTCTGAGATGCTCTCTTTCTTATTGTCCCAGTGAAAATTGTTCTCTCTCTCTCTTTTTCTCTCTCTGACAGGGTCTCACTATGCAGCCCTGGAACTCACTTTGTAGATCATGCTGGCTTCAAATTCACAAGGATGTGCCTCCAAAGTTCTAGGATTTGTCATGCACTACCACACCTGGCTTGTTGGGCCTCTCTTTAAAGGGGTTAAGTTATCCACAACTTTCAACTCCTTTTCTGGTAAGACTTTCCCCCCTCTCAGAAACAGAATCTTAATATACATCTCTGCTTGGCCTGGAACTCTCTGTGTGATCCAATCTAGTCTCAAACTCACAGCAACCCATCTGCCTCTGCTACCCCAGTGCTCAAATTAAAGCCATTTGCCACCATTCCTGGCCAAGACTTCATTTTTTTAAAAATTCTTTATTAATTACACTTTATTCACTTTGTATCCCCCCTGTGGTTCCCTCCCTCCTCCTGTCCCAATCCCTCCCTTCCTCCACCCTCTGCATGCATGCCCCTCCCCAAGTCCACTGATAGGGGAGGTCTTCTTTTCCTTCCTTCTGATCCTAGTCAATTAGGTCTCATCAAGAGTGGCTGCCTTGTCCTCTTCTGTGGCCTGGTAATGCTGCTTTCCCCCCAGGGGGAGGTAATTAAAGAGCAGGCCAATCAGTTCATGTCAGAGGCAGTCCCTGTTCCTATTACAATGAAACCCACTTGGATACTAAACTGCGATGGGCTACATCTGTGCAGGGGTCTTAGGTTATCTCCATGCATAGTCCTTGGTTGGAGTATCAGTCTCAGGAAAGACCCCTGTGCTCAGATTTTTTGGTTCTGTTGCTCTCCTTGTGGAATTCCTTTCCTCTCCAGATATTACTGTTTCCCACTTCTTTCCTAAGCTTCCCTGCACTCTGTCCAAAGGTTGCCCATAAGTCTCAGCATCTTCATTGATTGTCTGCAGGGCAGAGCCCAAGACTTCATTTTTAAAAATAAGATTTTTTTTTTTTTGTGTGTGTGTATGTGACTGATCTGTATGTACCTGTTCTGTTTATAAGCATCACATATGTGAATGTTTCCACACAGGTCAGAAGTGAAGAGACTCTAGCCAGCCTGAACATGGCAAACATGGCTCTGACAGGCTTTGCTCTTCTCAGTTTCCTTTGCCTTGCTAAAAGCTGTAAAGATTACATTCCTGAAGTTAGCCACTAAGGTCTATTCCCTTATTTGGCCACTTTCTCCTCTTGAGGCTTACTACCAATATTCAGCAATCAAAGTATTGAAATCAAGCAATTAACACCCCCTTTGGCTCACCTAATTAACATACCCACTTAAAAGTAAACATCTTATCCTAACATGGCCTTTCCCCATTTGCCTATGGGTAATGGCTGTCTACTTTCTATCCAGAGGAAATTCTTTGTCTCCCCTCCAGGACAAACACTTCTGCTCCCGTCTCATTCCTTTTCCCTTCTCCCTAGGCCTCTATCTCCTGTTTTTGTGTCTTATTTCCTGTCTTTTGTCCCTCTGGTGCAAATAAATTTCCTATGTTCTGAGAATTTGGTCTTGGGATCCTGAGCCCATACAGATCCTTTCAAGAAAAAGGCATGGAATTCCTTGTAGTTAGTATAACAAAAGTTACATTTTATTATGCTGAAGGTCATCACACAAAGTTCACACTCTAAAGGCTGTTCACCTGTGCAATGATGTATCTTAGTTGAAGGTAAGGTCCAGTCTCTAAACGAAGTCTCTGATTCTAGCAGCAGGATACTGGGGGAGACTCTGCAGCTGCAGGGGAGATCAAGGTGGTTTGCAGAGCATTGCTTTTGTTTGCTGCTTATATACTGTCAAGTGGGTGTCATAGGGTTCTAGGACTGTCTGGCTGTCTTGAGTGAGTGATATCACTGGGTTCTGGTTATCAGGTGCAGCCGTGGGTGTAGCGGGGTTCCTGACTAAGCTGTTTTTAAATGTCTAAAAAGCATTTTTACTATTGTTAGGGTCCAGAACTCACAGAAGAAAACACCACAGACTCAAATAGTATACAAACATTCTGCAGAAGTCCAGTGCACTGGGGACTTCGCCTATGCAAAGCAAAATGTTGAATGAATTGAGCTCAAATTCTTCTTTTGTAGGTACTCAGATGGAATTTCAGGGTGGGTTAGGTAATCGTTAGTATAATTGGGGCATTCAAAACTTGGGCAACTTTTGGACTGGTCAGCAATCATTATCATAAAACAGGCTATTTCTAACCTGACAGTTAAGCAACCTTATTTTCCTGCCAGATGGTCCGGCAGAGGGTCAGGCATCCTTTGATTAGCTGCCCATTTTTTTGTGGTTTTTCCAGTAAATGCTGATCTATTCTGGGAAATGGGAACTTAGGCCTTCTTCTGAGAGACCAAATAATTAAATAATATTTTGGAGTATTGTTTTAAAGGTTAAAGAACAAGTGTGAACAAAGACCAGCCAGGTAGATACATGTCCAGCCACCTGGGGAGAGGAACTAGCTTTACTGCATTCTTTTCCTGCCCACTAGAGATACAGTTGCTAAGAAATCGACCCAGATGGCCAGGCTAGAACTGTTTATGGTCTTGGCACCTAAAGTAAACCATTTATTTCAAAAGTCAATTTCCCTTACCCAATCATGTAACCCACCACATGTGATTTTTCCCTTTAAAAACCTTGTTCCCCTAGACAGCGCCACTGCAGTCCTCCTCTTCACTGAGGAGGTTGCTGCAACCCAGGCTTGAGCTAGTATTAAATAAACCCTCATGTATTTGCCCTGGAGTTGATTCCTGGTGGTCTTTGTGGGGTCTCATGGACTGGGCATAACACTCCATATTTATTTATTTTTTAACAAGAGACTGAAGCCTGTCTTGGCATAAGCTCAGATCCTATGTCACACTGTAGTGGGGTCTCAAATGGAACTTCAGTTTTAATTGGGGTCTCACATTGTACTCATTACACTTTGGAACTGAAGCTACCGGTAGGTGGTAGTGAGCAGCTTGACATGGGGGGTGTGAACTTTATCTAGGTCTTCTGGAAGAGCAGCAAGTGCTCTTTAACCACTGTTGTAAATGATGATTAATATTTACTAATAATTATCTTTTAGTAATGTTTGCTGTTAATCCTAAACAGCTGTATAACCAAATCACCACTGGGTTTGGTTAAATAAACCACAGAGACTGGGTTTATTTAGTTAACCTAGAACACAATGCTGGGCAATAGTTACTCCATCCCAAACCTCCAAGCCCTCATAGTTTCCTAACATTTAGATTTCCCACATTATACTTGCTTTTAGTGATATATTAGGTCCAGTCCATCTCTCCATGTCGTTCCAAGATCTCTCCTCCAGCTCTTCTCTCTCAGCTCTGCCTCACCCTCTCTCCTCCCACTCATTTCCTGTCCTCTGGCTCCTCCCCTTGCTCTACATTGTGGCTAGTTGCTTTATTTTGGCCTGTTTACACACAGTTGAGACAGGATGCTTAGAATAAGTATCACAATGCAATATCCGGATTGAAACGGGGGGAGGAGGGGATCAGCATTTGAATGAACAAGGGTAAGGTGTATACATTTCAAAAGAACATTATACCAACAAACCACTAAGCTCCATACAACCCCAAGACTGGTTTGTTTTAAAAATATTTCTGCTCTGCTTTGTTTCCAGTTCTTAACTAGCCCAAAGCAGCCAGAATCTGGTATGCTATAGTCTTAGCATGATTATTACTGTGATGTAACACCATTATCAAAAGCAAATGGGTGAGGAAAGGGTTAATTTGGATTACATTTCAACAACACTGATTATCATTGAAGGAACTCAGCTCAGGAATTCAAACCATGGTGTGTGTGTGTGTGTGTGTGTGTGTGTGTGTGTGTGTGTGTATGTATGTATGTATGTATGTTCAAACCTGGTGTTGTGTGTAATACTTTCCTCTGGTTTGAAACATTTTATCCTATAGGGAAACTCTTGAAGCAAGAATGTAAACAACTCAAAATACCTTCAAGAAGTCCCTTAAACTGACCAGATTAATTGGGTCCTTCTCCATCAGAGTAAACAATAAAAGCTAAGAGTTCCTCTCAGAAGAAGGAAGCTGGGCTTTAAAGAAAACTCTCAGACAAACTGAGTTTCAAAGAAGGCTCTGAGACTGGACCAGCTGGAAGAAGTCTGGACCAGCAAGACACAGGAAAGTACACTCTCCACCATGTTGAACTACCTTCAGGCTGTGCAGTGTGTTCCAGGTTCCCAGCTTTGTGAGCAGTCATCCATGCTGGAATGGGCTTTGGTGACACAGCTGTCTTTGAGTAATTTCTGATCCTGTAAGTTACTCCTCACCCATATTCCTGTAAGTAAACCCCAATAAAACTCATGGTTCACCAAGCTGAACTTTGTACTTTGTTGTATCTTGGGCTTCCCATCTGGGTTGAGTAGATGTGTATGCTGCATCTCCCCAGGAAGTTTCATCACTGTCTGTTATTATAGGCAAGAGCTGATGCAGGAGCCAAGGAGAAATCCTGCTTACTAGCTTACTCCACTTGACTTCCTCAAGACAGGTTTCTCTGAGTAGCCTTGGCTGTCCTGGACTTGCTTTGTAGACCAGACCAGCCTCAAACACTCAGAGAACCACCTGCCTCTGCCTCCCTAAGTGCCGGGATCACAGGTGTGTGCCATCCACCACACCTGCCTTCTACAGATCTTTTTTGCTTTTAATTTTTTTCTTAAACTGTATAAATTGTAATAAATGATAATTTAAAACATTCATAAATTTTTTCTCTTTTATTTAGTTTTTGATTATTACAATTTATTCATTTTGTATCCCAGCTGTAGCCCCCTCCCTTATCCTCTCCCAATCCCATCTTCCCTCCCTCTTCTCCCATGCCCCTTCCCTAGCTCACTGTAGGGGAGGTCCTCCTTCCCTTCCATCTGACCCTAGCCTATCAGGTCTCATCAGGACTGGCTGCATTGTCTTCCTCTGTGGCCTGGTACAGCTATGCTCCCCCCAGGGGGAGGTGATCAAAGAGCCTGCCAGTGAGTTCATGTCAGAGGCAGTCCCTGCTCTTACTAGGGAACCCACTTGGAGACTAAGCTGCCATGGGCTATATCTGAGCAAGGGGTCTAGGTTATCTCCATGCATGGCTCTTGGATGGAGTATTGGTCTTTCCAAAGACCTCTGGGCCCAGATTTTTTGGTTCTGTTGGTCTCCTTGTGGAGCTCCTACCCTCTCCAGGTCTTTCTATCGCCTCTTTCTTTCATAAGATTCCCTGCACTCTGCCCAAAGTTTGTCTATGAGTCTCAGCATCTGCTTCCATACCCTGCTGGGTAGAGTCTTTCAGGGTCCCCGGTTTTCTCCCGATTAGATTATGATGTCTATCCCATTTGCTTTCTGAGTGAGGATTGAACAACTACCCTAGGGTCCTCCTTGTTTAGCTTTTTTAGGAGTATAGATTTTAGTCATGTTTATTCTATATTACATGACTAATATCCACTTATAAGTGAGTATATACCATGTGTGTCTTCCTGGTTCTGGGTCACCTCACTCAGGATGATCTTTGCTGGAGAGGATGTGGAGAAAGAGGGACTCTCCTCCATTGCTAGTGGGAATGGAACCTTGTACAACCACTTTGGAAATCAATCTGGCACTTTCTTAGAAAATTAGGAACAGTGCTACCTTAAGATCCAGCTATACCACTCCTAGGCATATATACTAAATATGTGCAAGTATACAACAAGGAAAAATTTACTCAAAATATTTGCAGCAGCTTTATTTGTAATAGCCAGAATCTGGAAACAATCCAGATGTCCCTCAGAAGAGGAATGGATACAGAAATTATGGTACATTTACACATTGGAATACTACTTGCCAATTAAAAACAAGGAAATCATGTAATTTACAGCTCAGTCTTGAGGCATTTTCTCCATTGAGGTTTCCACCTTTCAGAGGATTATCTTATATTAACAGAACTAGCAACACAGCTATTTTGAAATTTCCACTACCAAATCATCACCTCTCCTTTAAACTCAGCCTCAGATGTCCATGTGGCTGCTGTGGCATGTTGTTAAGTGACATTATTCCTAGAAAAACATGGACTAACCTACTACTGCAACATAATACTATTAACCTCAGATAGGGAGCCAATGACAGACCAAATTAGGATACAACCAAAATCAAATTTGGTGAACCAATGAGTTTTATCGGGGTTACTTACAGGGATATGGGTGAGGAACTAAAAAACAGCTGCATCACCAAAGCTTACCCCAACACAAAATTGGAAACCTAGAGCTCCCAGCCCAGACTGCAAGCATCTCAACAGGTTGGAGAGTGTCCTCTGTAAGTAGCTTAGCAGGTTCCAGCTTCTTCCAGGATGCTCAGCTGGTCTGAAAGTCTCTCTGTAGCTTTTATAGCTTATATATGCTTGTAGCTTATGTATGCTTGAGGAAAAGGGGTCTAGGCATCTGGTCAGTTTTAGGGACTTCCTGAAGCCTTTGTTTACTTCCTGAGCTTAAGAAGCTTTCCTACAGGATGAACTATTTCAACTCTCTTTAGAACATCCTGTTGTTTTGCCTCTTTTCTAACATCCTGTGTCTTAAAGAGCTTCCCTCCAAAATGGAAGATTTTAATCTGCCGTACTGTACACATGTGCACCTTCACTCAGATACATACATGAGTATGTATGAACTCACTGACATGCATACACACATGCATGAACACACACAGGTACACACACATATGCACACACACACAAACATACCTATGGACTACTAATACTGATAACAATAAAAATCAATAGTCAAGTGTACTGTGGCACAAGCCTGTAATTCCAGTCCTCAGAAGAAGAGAGTGAGGAAGACAATGAGTTCAAGGCCAGTCTGGGCTACAGGAGAGCCTCCTTGAAAACAAACAAACACCTTCCAAAACAAAGACCTTCCCCCAACAACAACAAACTAACTTAAAATCAGCAATGAGTCCATTACCAGCACCACAGAAACATACATACTAACACCAGTAATGGAATAGGGCAGAGTCCAGGAGTACCAGTTGTAGGGTAAAATGTCCAGGGAAAGAACACTCAGACTCTGACTTGACCCCAAGCACAAGACATTGTGTGTGTGTGTGTGTGTGTGTGTGTGTGAGAGAGAGAGAGAGAGAGAGAGAGAGAGAGAGCCAGCCAGCCAAAGACAGACAGAGACACGGTGGTGTATAACAGTAAACAAGACATATTGTTAACCAGGAAAATGTATTCTGTTTTTGTTTTTGTTTTGTTTTCAAGACAAGGTTTCTCTATACTAGCTTGGCTATCCTTGAGCTTGCTTTGTAGACCATGTGGGCCTCAAACTCACAGAGATCTGACTACCTCTGCCTCAAGTATTGGAGTTAAAGGTGTGTATCACCACACCTAGCACAATCAGGAAATTTTATCTGAGCTGTAGTTACTGGGTTTAATTTTTTTTTGAAGTATTTTTTGGATCAGTCACATACAAAAAGAAATCCCTTCTATCTTTCCTCCAAAAACAACAAACCCACGAGACTCTAAACTAGGCTCAAAGTTTCAGAAAATCAGCTATTTGTACAGTTTCTGAAAGTTGTAAAAGGAATGCAGCTGACCCTAACCCCAGACACCTGGTAATTATAAATACAGAGAATAGACCTATCTATCCCCCTATAGTCTCAAAAAATGGCTTATCTAGAGAAAACAACCTACTCTCCTTATTCTGCCTGTGATGGTTTTGATGAGCATGGTCTCCATAGGCTCAGGTATTTGAATGCTTGGTCCCCAGTTTGTGACTCTGCTGGGAAGGATTAAGAGGTGTAGTCTAAAAAAAAGAGAGAGAGAGAGAGAGAGAGAGAGAGAGAGAGAGAGATGTGTGGCCTTGTGTGTCTCGGGGAGTGGGCTTTGAGATTTCAAGAGCCCATGCCAGGCCCAGAATACTCTCTGTATCTCTCCCTCTCCCATTGGCTGTGAATCAGGGTGTGAAGTTCTTAGCTACTGAGACAGTGTCATTCCTGTAAGCTTTTGTGGTAGTGCTTTCTTTTATGAGTTAATTTGGTTATGGTGTCTCTTCAGAAACACAGAACACTGATAAAGACACTGTCCCTAATGAAGACTTATCCTCCTCCTTCTTTACTGTAAACTACAACCCATTCCTGCTCCCAGACTACCTACCCCCAACCCTGTCCAAACCACATACTGTGTGCTCTCTTATGATCAGCTCTGTTCAGGAAAAATAAAGCCTGCTCTTGCTGTAAAGGTTGCTCTAAACTTTCATTTCCCTTTACAAATATATTCATTACATATTGTAATTGTTGCAGCTCTGAAGGGAAAGACTTCCACAACAGAAGTGTTGTCTGGCTCCTTCAGTCCCCAGGGCAAATATAAAATTGGATCCCTGTGAGTTTGTCCCTGGGTCCTGCCCCCAAACAGCCAATATCCTGTCTCAACTTAGGCCTAGGATAGGGCCTCGTCGGGCATTCAGGCATACCAGGGGAACCGGCCTTCCAACCTGGCATGACCAAATTTTCATCTCTGGTGGCCAAGTCACAGAAATCAAAACAAAGTTCAGGCCCCCATGCACCTCCGGGACCTGTGTAGGAAGTAGTTGAGATAACATCCCCAGTGGCCATGCTGGTTATCTGCCATGTTAAGTTCATAAGTTGGTGTGGGTCTCGCTAATGTGTATCTTGGCCAGGCTCAAAGTTAGGACTCTGGAGATGTATACTGACTCTAAGTGTTACAAGCAATTGAATACATACAGTTAGCAGTCCCACACCGGGAAAGCTTGAGCTTTAGCAGGTTTTCTTGGTTCTTTGATGCCTTCCATGTTGTCTTATGGTTGGTGTAATCTTTCTTGGTCTTGAAGGGGCTAGCTGGTCTGGCGTGGGTGTATGGATCCAGGAGGCAACACTGTCAGCCTTCAAGGCAGTGGGTGTCATCAGTACGGTCCCTTCCAGCATGGTTCCAGTGACTCCTGGCACTGTCTCTTGAAGTAGACCCAATCTCCTGGTCTATAGTGATGAGGCTCCAGGGGAGCCTTAAAGAACTCTTAATTTAGGCCAAACATGTTTATGGGACCATGTTTTCCCTTGAGGTCATGCAGGAAGTCTTGATCCTTAAACTTAGCAATGACCTCAGTTTGTAGGTTAGGGATAATAGGGGGAGGGACTCCAAAAAATCTCAAAAGGAGTGAGTCCCATCTGATAAGGAGAATTGTGCGCCCGATAGAGTGCAAATGGAAGGAGAGCCACCTAGTACCTGCCAGTCTCTAAAGTCAGTTTAGTTAAGGTCCCTTTTAGAGTCCTGTTCATCCTTTCTACCTGTCCTGAACTCTGGGGTCTATAAACACAATGTAATTTCCAGTCAGTCTCCAGAACCGTGGCCAG